GCTCTAAAGTGATGTTGGTGAAGTAGCAGCAGTTTCTGCTGTTCTGACATCAGCTGCAGATGTGAATGAATGGTGGAAGAAAGTAGTTCCTCATACAAAAGGATTTTTAAGACTCTGTGTTTGATTATCCTTTTTTATATACACGATTATGCTGTTGAACTGTTGTAGAAAACACAAAATCACACTCGCAATATGGCTGTGTATCATCACTGGTGGGACACTAAGGCACTCGGTCTAAGGCCTCATGCCAACACTCGCCTATTTTGAAGGTAGTAATTATCAAAATAAAGGTCTGAATGAACAGATTAACAGAGGCATAATGAACAACACTCATGAATAACACAACAAGGAGCTGCCTTGTTTTTTGGGTGTCGAGGTATTTTTAGTGTTTAAAACACAACAATGGAGTATAGTATATAGCTTTACATTCCATCCATTTTCCCAGAACAGAAACACTTTAAGTATGTTATTGTTTATTTTTTAAGCAGTCATGTAGGCACTATATCCATATCTGTCAGTCGTTAAAATCTGATTCCAAAACAAGTCCTTGTAGAACACAGCCACTCAAATTAGGGCACTGCAACCCTAATGTAACCCTCGCCACCAGTACATTTGGAGCAGGAAAATGGTTTAGATTGATGATCGCAATATAAATAAGGTTTATCGAATGTTTTTAGACTCACTTGAGAAAAGAATCTCTCTCTTAATTCTCTGCTGGTCCTAATGATCGGCTGCAGATGCTGTGTGTAGTGGCCTCTTGCAGAGAAACTGACTGAAATGGGGCATGATATTGAATTTCAAATCAAACTCTTCTATTTGCAGCATAAAACAGTGGGTGGTTTGACTATCTGCGACACTCATCTTGCATTCATGAAGTCACATTGAGTTTTTAATAACAAATGTGAAGCCTTTTCCCACCTTTTAATCGATTTCACAACCGTTTGAGTCCGTAAACAATGACTTATTGTTTGTGTGTGTGAGACATGACTTCACTGCCTGCATAAATACATCATTTTGATTTTAATAGGTCATCTGTATCAGGTTGTGTTTTGGTGACCCTGGATTTTCCCTTTATGTGCACATGTGACTCGCTCAGAATAAAATTTACTGTCATTGGACTTTTATTTTCATAGATTACCCATAAGACTATTGATATATCATGGCATTTTTTTTTCCTCAAGAATTTACAATGGCTGTTTAAAATGTATAGACTCTTGAATCCTTGGTGGCTGTCATTAATCATTATAGCACAATCTTTTTTCCCCCACTTTTTTTTCTTGATTTGAAACCACATCTTCATTTATAATGAGCGCTTAGGGAGCACATGCTGCTGAAAGAAATCCCATTGCCACTGTAACTTTATTTTCGTGGCAGTTGTTTTCATGTTTTGTGACAAGCAAATCACATTTAATGAAAGTATATTAGGATTCTGTGTCTGTCTCTGGCACCATTTCCTTTCTCTGGCCTGCGACCTCTACCTTCATGAGTTTGCCTATGATTCATGTGGCATTTTAATTTCTCATTATTCACCTGTCTCCTCTCTTTTCTTTCCTTCTTCATATCATATGATGTTCCTGCATGTCTGAGAAGGCTGTGGATGAGAGCTGTGGATGATCATGCACAGAAGTTAATTGGAAGCACCAGTATTGAGAATGCAGTGTATTGTTGTACTAATGATAGATCAGAATGCAAATATCATACTTCAGCACTTCATAACATCTGTTTCTAAAAGGGCTGTTTGGTTTGTTGCCATCAAAATCAGATGTTTCCCAGTCCTAAAATATCAAGCTAAAAAAAAAAAATGAATTTAGCATGATAAGCTGTGACATTTTAAATAAATTAAATTGTTACATTAACTCATTTGAATTGTATAGTCATTCAATCATTTTCCTTCAGCTTTGTTGCTTTATTCATTAGTAGTTGCCACAGCGGAATGAACTGCCAACTTGTCCAGCATATGTTTTACACAGCGGATGTCCTTTCAGATGCAACCCAGTACTGGGAAACATCCATACGCACTCATTCACACACATACACTGACCAATTTAGACTTGAATTGTATAGTATATTACAGTCTCGTAGCCAGCCTGATGAATGTGGTGTTTTTTTTTTCTCCAAAACACCAAGAACACCTCATTTTCTACTTAATTATAAGATTTAAATACATTTTAAGCACTATTTTAAGCTCAATTAGCTTGCCGGATGGTCATCATAACCTCACTGTTTGATGTACCTAAAATATTTCCTAAAGAATTAGAATAAAGAAATATGAAAAATACTTATTTTCAAAACACAAATTTATTATAATTAGAAAAATACATTTGAATCTGTTTTAAATTAAAAACAACCCTATTGTCATTTAAAAGGAAAATTTTAAATAACAAGCTGGGCAGCACATTCAACTTTACTCAGTCAGAATTTGACCATTTGAATAAAAAATAACAATAATAATGTAGAGCTTTACGAATTTTCTAGCCTCTCTTTCATTGATAATTCATGGATTTTTTTAAACTGGGAATGATACATGTTTAATAATGAGGTTTTTAATTTTTTGGTGAACTATTTTCAAATGGTGAGGCAACAGCATTCATATAGTACTAGGGCTTGGGATTTAAATATTTGTTTAATTTAAATTTAGAAGTCTAGTGGAGAAAGATTTTAGAACAAATTACCAAAATCAATCGAGGAAATAAAAGACTTAATGAGATTCAAATAAAGCCATCATGAGATGGTTGGTTGTCTGAGGATTATTAGTTTGCATGGTGAATGATGATGTTTTATTTTATATGTAATTGTATTGTGAATAGAGTTGCAGCTGCAAGGGCATCCGCTGCATAAAACATATGCTGGATAAGTTGGCGGTTCATTCCACTGTGGCGACCCCTAATGAATAAAGGGACTTAGCCGAAGGAAAATAAATGAATGAATGTTAGTTGGACCAAATTTGTAAGTCAATGTGTTTGAATGTTTCAGAAACTTTTTTAAAAAGTTACTAATTAATTCTGGAAATGTTAGAACACTTTATCTATAGCTATTATGACATGTTTTACACCCTCATTTTGAGAAAGAGTTTGCAAGCTTAGAGTCAGCCCAAAACTGTAAAATTCCTATAGCAGTATCTGCAAAATTTATTCACGCCACAGTGCATGCTGGGGAACATCCTTAATAATCAGCAACAGCAACGTTCAGTATGCAGCAGTTCATACCTACAACTGCCAGGGAATATATTGTAGGTTTTACATTTGGATGTAGGCTCTTAATTATTTAGTGTGAAGCTATATGCTGGATTGTTTTTATTTACAGCACACACATGTTTCTACACACACAGCTGCATGCTCTGGCCATTGGGGTTTTTGAAAGGTCTTGGTGGGTCAGGCTGGATTGAGGTTGCAGTGTCACTCAAAGCCTTTGTTCTGAGAAGATGAAACACTTTGCGAGCCAGGTGATGCTCAGAGCAGCGTCTTTTTATCAATACATTTTTTCCCCCACGGTTTTCAATTTGTTTTGAAGAGCTTCGAGACTGAAGAATTTCTGACTGAAAGCAGGATGACTGTGAAAAGCAAATCAGCCGAAATGGCTTCATCCTTGTGCAAGTTCACTCTCTCACTCTGACACAGAAACAAAACAAATTGCTGCAAAATTGCTCAAAATAACCCTTTTAATCTGTAAGGCAAAAGTCAGGCTTTATATGTGGGAATCAAAGAATATAAAAAACAAAGCAAATGCGCTTTTCTTGAGGTTTTTAATTTTTCATACAAATTTGAAAATGTCTATTAATAAAACATTATTGACCATAAAACAGACAGGTAAAGCTCTAAATGAATATCCATATTTGTTTTATCATTTATTCATGTTGTTCTTTTGCTTTAGTGTTTAACTTCTGAGCTGCCTATATGTGTCACGATCATATTCGTCTTTCTTGTGCTCAACAGATCCACTGTGCAAAAAAATCAACTTAATCACCCATGCAATGTTATACAACAAGGTCAGTTTTACACAAGAGGATCTGAGGATGAGATTTCAGCTGCTGCGGTCTTAATGCCCACATTCCTGTTTGTGATATTCTGCATTTTACCATGAGAATGTCTATTCATGGCATAATGCACACTACTGTGAAGTAGGTTAGAAACAGGGAGGAGTTGAGACATAAATCACTCAATGACCTGCTTGTCCTGTGAACAATTACCTTCAAACAGTAAAAATATCAGATTACTTGACCTCGGATTATGAATGCACTTCATGAAGACAACTGGTGATTGGGTGATTAAAATTACATTCACAGAAAAATAAATGTTTGGACTTTTTATACACTTTTATGTTAAGAATCAATAACCTTAATCCAGACGTGCGAACTTTGAAACCTATTGCAGGATTCTTGGATGAATGACTGAAATTATGTGCGTCATTAACTTTTGAATGCAGAAAGAGTTTTTGACATTTGACAGAACAAATGCTTCTCCTGCTTTTTATGGTTGAAATTACATTTCTAGATATGTGAATTGAGCATATATGCTTGGAAGGTAATGTAAAGAAGACAGAAATTCAATAGGATGCTTTAGAAAGCGAGTCATTACGTTTGCTTAGTGAACACTTTGACAGATCTAAAATATAGCAGTTGACAGAAAGGTGCAAAGATAATGTGATTTTCCTGCAATGGTTTAAAGCTATGTAATCTGCAGAAGTTGCCAATCGCATTTTCTCACTTTAAAAACATCATTTCAAATGCCTTCATTGGAAAAATAACATAAACTTGAGTGAAACACTTGTGCTTAATCATATTATTAAATTAAAAGAATGATAAAAATAGGATGCAGGTGAACCACTGAGATCAATACGGGACATGTGACCCAGTTTAAGCAATAATAGTTTTATCATCCACCTGCATCAATAAACTAATGAATAAATTCATTTTAAAAGTCCTTATGATAAATCGTTTATACAAACGGTTATTGGGGTTTGCGTCCAATGTCCAAATGTATAGGTAAATGTGTTGTGAAGTAGTAAAACAGTAGCAGTATTTATGTTTTGCTAATATGCAACATTTAATACTGCAAGCGATCGAGCGGCGTATAAAGCTACTGTTTCTATGGTTACCACTTTAGCGAACTTACTGTTTTGGTACTTCACTAATAACCTAACGTTGCCGATACTTTTTGGTCGCTGAAAAGTTAATTCAAAAGCTTTCTTTTAAGAACTGAATCTGTTCAGTACTTTGTAAAACATTCAACCATTTGTTTTGGTTTGCTTTGGAAAGGTTAATGACCTCTTAACCCCCCTGAGTCATTCAGTAATGATTTGGCCTGGGATTCCCTCGCACTCCATGAGTCCAGTCGAGGTGAATGGTGTGATCGTGTCCAGTGAAATCTCCCCGTCGCACTCAAACTGCCCGATGTTCGGTAACAGCATGTTTTTGTGATTCCGAGAAACGTTCGAGGTGACCGAATCCTTGTCAAACGGGAGACTCTGCTCCTCTCGAGTGTTCGCCATCTGGGCAGCCAGTGGTTGCGCTTCTTTCTGAAGGGTCGTGTCGTGGTGATAGGACACCAGCTCGTTACTGAAGTTCACCGTCTCCACGGCGGTGCAGGGGAAAATTTTATTGCAGCCCAAAATCGAGGAGAACGCTTTCCTGAAGTCCGCGTTAAACGCGTAGATGACAGGGTTGAGGGAAGAATTGGCCCATCCGAACCACACGAAGATGGTGAAGGTCGTGTCACTGACGCACTGGCAGAAGGGCACCATGCAGTTGAGCACGAAAAACGGCAGCCAGCAAAACACAAAGACTCCCATTATGATAGAGAGTGTTTTCAAAACTTTGGTCTCTTTCTTGAAGGTGGTTTTCAGAGAGTTCTCGTTGGAGCAGTCGTTGGACTGGTGGTGGTTTTGCGCGTGTTCCACCGCTCTCTCCAAAGAGGAGATCCTGCGGATCTGCGTTTGCGCAATACGGAATATCCTCGTGTACGTGGCGATCATGATGATTACGGGGATGTAGAAACTTATAAGCGAAGACGAGATGGCATAGGTCCTGTTCAGGTTGGCTTTGCAGTTGTCGCTGTAGTCTGTGCCGTTTCCCCCTGCGCCCTCCTCGTCGTCATCAGCCATGTGCCAATTGAGCTGAACCGGGATGAAGGAGATTAGGATGGACAGGGTCCACGCCACTCCAATCATCATGAAAGCCACCCGGTGGGTCATTTTACGCTCGTAACGGAACGGGCTCGCGATGGCCCAGTAGCGGTCCACGCTGATGATGCACAGGTTGAGGATGGACGCGGTGGAGCACATGATGTCAAATGCAATCCAGATGCCGCAAAACCGGCCGAAAAGCCATGTGCCAGCCACCGCGGAAATTGCCTCCCACGGCATCACCAGGACGGCCACGAAGAGATCTGAAACGGCCAGAGAAATGACGAAAAAGTTGGTTACTTTGGAGCGCAGGTGTCTAAATTTGACCACGGCGGCACACACGAGTGTGTTCCCTAAAAGCGTGGAGACGATCAGGAGGAAGAGCACAAAACCAAGCAGAGCGCGCACGCTGTTCTGCCCGTCTCCATCCTCTCGCTCCTGCGCTCCGTGCGCGCGGTCCTGCGTGTGATTTGTACCGTTCTCCATTTCTAATATCGTATCCATTACTACAGATTATCAACAAAGCCAGTCAGCTACATTGTTTAAGTTAGTCTTTAGGAGAGACCTGTCCGTTATCCAGCTCTGTCCCATGTTGGCAAGTTGGGATAACTGCGTCTGATCTCGGTGCTGTGCGCGTGGAATGACCCACATTTACGCACTGGTGCGTCTCGCTCGAGAAGTTCTTGCTTTGTGATTGGTTTATGTCCACACCGCTGACTCTGTGTGATCAACTCCGACATTCCTTCTCTCCGAATGACTAGTTGCCAATTAACCTAAAATACGGACAGAAAATGCCACCCTGCAAATGATAAATAGAAAACATTTAGACAAATGATAACAATTAACAGGTGACAGAGCAAATTGAAGACAACAATAATAATAATAATACCAATAGGCCTATTATTATTATTATTATTATTAAATTAATGTACCTGATATAAATAATATTTTTTGTTGAATTTGAAAAGATCTGCATTTACCAAAAATAAAATCATATATTTTCACATGGAATACTTTGTGAATACTTTGGCAGAATCAATCAATCAGTAAATCAATCAATTAATTAATGTGAGCCTAAATATGCATGCATGTATTTAATAAAATTAGTTTACCATAAAAAACTTGCATGTTCATTTTCAAACATTGAACATTTTCATGTTATTGATGCAATGACTGGACATAAAGAGTCAAATTATTTGTAGTGATGCATGGGTCGAACAGTTTCTCCTTATTTGACAAGTATGAAAGATACAGGTTTTGTGCATCGCTGCTATATATGTCAAACTGTATCAGGCTTCTGGTTTGGTTTTGTTTCCCATTATTTACTGAGAAACTCCTCTTATAACTGTCAATCAAGTTACTGGATACTGCCATACTTTTTGTCCAGTAATAGTGCACTGAGAAACTCCAGAATTGCTTGAAGATTTATTTAACTATTTGTTTGGCAGATTTGTTTGATTATTTTTTGGGCAGATGAAGAGTGTACATCATCCGTTTAAAGCAATCTGACCTTCATGTAAATACCAGAATATTTTAATTTATGAATACCTATAGACTTAAAAGCCTGGAGACTACACCAACTAAATATGTGTTCAAAGTGAAATGCATCTTTTTTTGCACAAAAGAAAGCTTACACAAGAGGCTTTCCTATGGAATTTAAATAACAATGCATAAAAGACTATGGTGTCATATTTATTCCTTGAGGAATATAGGACAAATCCAGCAACACAATACAAACCTGTTCTATAAAAACATGTTCCCTGGACTTTTAAAAATTTAAATAAGTAAATTCATAGACATACATCATTCGTAAGGCAATTATCAGTGCATAAATATACAAATATTTATGATTTTTTAGACGTTTTTATTGTCACAATAGTCGTAAAACAAAAAGACTAATCTAAACAACTAAACAAGACTTGTGTAATGCCGCCCTCTATTGGTCATTTTAAATTCTACGATAGATAGATAGATAGATAGATAGATAGATAGATAGATAGATAGATAGATAGATAAATAGATAGATAGATAGATAGATAGATAGATAGATAGATAGATAGATAGATAGATAGATAGATAGATAGATAGATAGATAGATAGATAGATAGATAGATAGATATGGTAAAACTTTATTTTCCTTTTCTCCCAAATGTTTTAGCGTTCCATATGAATAATGGAAATAGGCATAGATAGATAAATATATACGTTTTTTGCATTACATAGCCTATATGTGAGTAAAAAATATAACCTATTAATGGAAATATGCGTCTACAAAAATAGAAAACTGTTAAAGCTGTTACAACTTGGTTGTTGTGGGCTGCAACACAGAGTGTCTGCAGTTGCTCCAGCTGTCCGGTGGATGTCGCGTTAACTCCTGGAAATTCCACTTCCAGCCTTTCGCTTTGGGAGAGAGACACGCCGACACCACAATCAAAATGGCCTCTATCAGCGATTGCGCTGGACGTGGATCAAAATGTGCATAAACTACTACCCGCAGTGGCTTTACCATGCATCCTTAACGCTAAAGGCTTCGGGGGCGCGATGTCATGAGTATACCAGACCAGCCGAATTGGCGGACTACATAAGATGAGAGCTTGTTTTGCAGACAGCCCAGCAGAACCGGGGCGCCGCCGCTGCAGCAGGGCTTCATCCGCCTTTCCGACCCAGCGACACCTCCAGTGAGATGGAGAGGGTGGAGGATGCTGGTGAGCCCAAGCTCGCACCGTTTATCGATGTCAACGACAACCGGGAGGAGCACAAAGCACGCGTTTGCGGTTCAGACACAGACGGAGCACGGGAGGGCTCTGTTTACATTTCGCCATACGCGGATCCAGGCGGTGCTGGACAGCAGACTCTCTCCTCGGTGCTGACGGGGTGCAAGGCCGGGGTATTAAACGGGTTTCCCGAACAGCTGGATATGGTGTGTCCGGATGGAGAGGAGGAGACGCAGTCAGACACGGGTCGGGTTTCAGGGACTTTCGAGACCGAGGATAAACCCGACAAGGCGTATTTAAATTCCCAAATGAGGTCTGCAGTGTCATTCATGGGTAAAACCTCGCCCGATATGAAGATACCTAATGGAGATGTTACCCATGAACACATGGATCATGATCAAACTCAATTAAGATGTTTAAATTACACAGAAGGATTCAACAGGAAGGCGTCTGCTGCTTTAGACAGGGGTGTGAAAGTGGGCAATGGAGGGCTGTTGATTGTGAACAGCTATGACACCCTCTCTCAAGTCCCTTTTGGAGCCTTGGGTGGCCTTCCTGCTCCAGAACGTCCTGTCTTTGTTCATCAGAGCGATGGTGTCCTCTCCTCTGGGAGGTCATGTGAAAGGGTCAGTCATCCCAGCGCAGATGAGGCCCATCTCTGTGACCCGGATCCAGTATACACACTGACAGATCTCAGCACCAAGCTATCCTTGTCACCCCTGGCAGAAAACACCAGCGATTACACTGAGACAGACCCTAGTCCGGAGGAGGATTTCAGTGACACAGGGCCCCCAGTCAGGCCCCAGAACCTCCGGACAAACCCCGGGCACCCAATCTCCCTCAGCTGTGATGCCACTCCTTTGAGTCCTGAGGACGATGGGTATTTTGGGGCAGAGGGTTGTGTGGATGAATGTCTCAGCTCTGGGAATACATTTGAGGGCGTTCGGCGGCAGAGTGCTCCAGACAGAGTGGATGTTGACCCCAATGCCTCATCTGACCAGACACTTGGCACCAAGAGACATGGCATTGCTGATTTTCTTACCAGGTAGATGGCAGTTGAGCAGATTGATTTAATTTTATTTTACAGTGGTTTAGATCACTAGAATCAGTTACTTTTTCATTTGTTTGATTGTGTTTCTTTTTAAGGGCAGAGGAAATGATATAATCAGGATTATATCAGTTCTTGGCTGATTTGAGTGTTTTTTTCTTTCTTTATTGATGGGATTAAATATAAACTATCATTCAAAGTTTGGGGTTGATAAAAAGTCACTATACAGTATAAGAAGTCTTAACATATAATTGAGTACACCCCATTTTGAATATGACTATTTGTATCCATTTGTATCCATTTATTAAACAGATATATTTATTAAAATAATATTTTAGTCACCAAACATATTTGTAAATTGAAAGATAGTACAATTAAATTCAAGCAAGATTTTGCAAAAAATAAAGTACAACCTACAAAATGTCAACTAAAGTTTAATATTTGTCTATGACAAAAATTTGGGTGTACAAGTTTTTGGATCGTTATCATAAGTTATTTTGTTAGATAATCTCCAGATTTAGCTTCAGTACTGTATATAAGTATACTATTGTATAGCTTCCTATTAAAAATAGGAGTTTAAAAAAAAAGAAATTTGTGAGGGGTGTACTTGTATATGCTGAGCACTGAATATGTGTGTGTGTCATTTGCATTTATATGCATGCATTCAATCGATCAAAAGTAATGCGACAATATAGTATTTTATGTTAAATAATTTTTTTGAAACCCCAACACAAAGTTATTTGATGAATGGATAAAAAACACTTTTTAAAAACAATTTATTCCATCACTTTTGATCAATTTTAATGTATAGTTAGATTATTTATTGAAAAAAAACTATACTGATCACACACTTCTGAACAATAGTCCTATTATTGACTAAGCTACATGCTTTTATAGTCATCTTTTAGCGCAAGTTTTAGATGATAGTATCATGTCAACGATATTTTTACATTTTTTGCCTAACTATATAAATCTATATTTCATATTGTCCAGCTCAGACATTCTAATATTGATTTGCCGTTGACGAAATATTAGTTTCAAAATCTGTTTTTACAGTATTGTATTTATTTATTTATTTATTTTTCAATTTTGAAAAAAAAAAACTTTTTTCATGTCATGCAGAGTTGCATTTTGTTTTGAAGAATGAGGGAAAGTTGGTTTTATATTTGCACATTCAGACATTAAAGTCAAGTGCAATTTTGGGGTTTCCACCTGGATTTTGCCTACCCAAATTCAAAAGCTTCCCAAATCCACATGAAGAGGTGTAAATGCAACAGTTTGGTATAATTTTAAAGAAAATCAAGGCGCTTTTTTTGTAAACTCAAATTTTAAAGTGTACCTTTTAGGTACTGAGTGGTCTAGGCTGCTATAATTAATTTTGGTGGTTTCTGCACATGTCAGTAATCAGAAAAAAGAAAAATGCCTCTATCATAATGTATTTATTAATTTTAATAGTAATTATTCCAACTGATGAGAGAACCGAACCACTTATGGTGGTATTGGGCCAGTATGCACCTTTAAATTTAAAGAATGCAGAAGTAAATGACATCACAACATCATTTCACAAAAGTATTATTTGCAAATTCTGAGTTAAATAGTGAAATCATATTATAGTACAGCATTGTTTAGAGTTAATTAAGTAGTGCTAATGTTGTTTTGAAATCATACTTGCATGCTGATTTATACCGAGTATTCAAAGTAGCCTGGTAAACATTATAGGGTCAGACAAATGTGCGAATTTAAAACCAACTTTACCTCAGTATTTTAAAGTATTAGCTATGCTTTTGTGAAGTGTAGATTTGTGTAAGCAAGCTCTTTATTGTTTTAGAGCTTAAATCACACTGTTAAACACATGATCAGGTAGTGACAGGCGCTTTGATTACCACCTACCTGTGGACTTTTTTTCTTCACTGAAATGCTTCACAGAAGGTCTAAGGTGTTTACTTTGATAACACTCTTTTGTTTAGAGATGTTTGATCAAGAGAAGCCTCTTTGCTTTATGAAAGTCAAATCCAGTTTAAAAGCACAGTTATCTCAGTCTCGCATAAAGTCGAATTTCTACATCAGAACCAAATCACGTGACATTGCCCTTCATCTCTTACTGGCACCGTTTCTGTTATGTTTAGGTTGAAAGCTTCTTATTCCATCCATAAAGCAATACCAGAGTTCAGAGGGAGTCCCTGAAGCTTTGGTCTTTACAAAGAACTTGATGGACTTAGTTTGGAAAAACACACACTGTGGAATTTTAATGTCAGCATTTATGAGTTTCAGGGCTTCATAGCGTTCTGCCTTGTTTCTGCACTCTCCATGCCTTCACTTCCCTATTTTACATGGGCAGACTTCTCTTTTCCAACTTTATGTTAGCGTATCTTTCACCTTTGTTACACTTTCTCATTGTCCACTGTTGTGTCCATCACCCAATCTGTCTTTCTCAGCACATTATTGATCTGCTTCACTGGCTTTATTGTGTAATTAAGACAGCATTCGATTGATCGTCCTGCCAGAAAGCATGTTCAGAGGTTTAGTGAGCTCATCTTCTCAGTAGGGTCTGCTCATTAGCTGTGTGTTTTTTGTAAAGGGCACCTGTGACTGACTTAAGGCTTTATTTGCAGGATCACAATGAGTACATTGAAATTGCCTGCATTAGGCACATTAAACCATTAGACCTACTATGCATTGCTGAGGTGTCCCAAGATCTCAATTTTCCATACTCATAGTCTGAATTTAGTCTTACATAGTCTGAAAGGGTCACTAAACACTAAAACACATTTTTTGAGCTGTTGACAGTCGTATATGTGTCCCACACTGCAACTTCATTAATATGCATGCTAGCTTCGAAGACTGTACCTGAAACAGTGTTCAGACGGCACAGAGACGACACACGTCGTGTTGCCAAAAGTAGTGGGAAAATAATAAGAATTGTTTGGAGATACGGGTTGTCAGTGTTGTTCATAATGTGCTGCAGTGAAGGTTTTGTTTTCATTTTCTCTCTATGAGAGCACTGCTATGATTTTTCTTTTTTCTGTTGAACACAAGTTAAAATACTTTTGATAGGCCTGTCATAATAATCAATTTATCGACATCTCGCACAACACATGGACATGACCTCAATCATTTTTGGTGATGCAATATATTTCGCAAATACAGAAAAACTGTTTTAGGAACATTTTAGCTGATGCACAACATCTCATTTGGAGGAGTCAGTGTCAGTATGGTTAAAAAAACACTTTAGTATTTACTGTAAATTACTATAGTATATTTTCATGTGGGTGTCTGACAACTGAAAATTGATCTGGTAGCAGAAATCGCTGTTACTTTTTACATTGCACTTTTTTGTTAACATTATTTAGGATATGCGTTTTCCCTTTCTTATACCAATGCCTAATAATTCAACTTTTAAAAACAACCATTAAAAATATTATGTATTGTTTGGAAGAGTGTACTTGCATTATGATAATAATATATTGTAAATCTGGTATTATATGATGAGTCTTAAAATGACAATAATAAAGTTTATCGCAATATAATTTGGTGCACTATATCATTCAACACAAAATAGATATTGTGACAGGCCTAACTTTCAACAAATTTTTTTCTACTGTGGATGTCAGTGGCTACCAGTTTCCAACATTCTTATAATATAGAAAGAAAAATTATGGTGTCATGGAACAGGAAAAAAAACGTTTATATAATTTTGTCACTCTTTTGTAAATATTTGCATGACTTTTTTACATTGGTTGACCTTACTCCTATATTGACTGATTACAATTCTTTTCCAAGTGCTTAAGGTATAGTAGTGTACTGTGTGTGTTATTTTATTTTATTTTTTTAGGTTATTCACTTTTTTTCACTCTTATTTTGTCTTTCTCTTTTTAAAGGAGTTTGTTTTCCTGGAAGCCCAAAGAATCAAGGGCAGTGGCTTCCCATAGTGCTCCAGGATGGAAGCTGTTCGGGAAAATTCAGCTACGGGACAATCCTCTGAAAGACTCCAGAACCATTCAACAGGTGAGAGACATGGTTAAGACTTGAACATAAGAATTCAGTTTTTGTTCGTTCATCATAAAAATTTTTAAGACTTGTTTTTGGAAAATGGCACATAATAGAATCTTTGATATTTGATTCTATTAGGGAAAAAGCGGTAAAATCTTGGAATGTTGCTATTTTACAGTGTTAAAGTGCAATTTAGTCATGCAACATACACTATCAGTTTTAATTCTATAATATAAAGTCCTTTGCTCAGCAGTGATGTATTTATTTGATTAAAATGCACCAGAACAGTTACACTGGGAAATATTTCTATAATTAAAAATTCAATAATGTGATTTTTTTTTTTGATTTAGTACTGTGGTTTCCTAAATTGGGGTCAGGACCCCTTCGTGGGACAATTAAACTATTAGAATTAGCATATTTTATCCATAACCCACAGAAGATAAAATGGTAGTTAATACTTGTATAAAAAACAACAGCATGCAAATAAAAAGCCATCATCCTTTCTATTATTTTTTTTATAGGATTGATGTGATTACTTTAGATAAACAATACAGCAATAGCGTCAGCTGCAGCAGATTGATTTTATAGCACCAGATTAAACTTTCTGACGCCTTTATGGCAATCAGATACATTAAAAATGAACACAGGCCACAACTGAACATTGAGGATGATCTCTGAGTGGCGGTCTCCAAAATTTAACCAAGAATAGACTTGTGCTGAATTCATTGTGCCCACCAGTTTCTTTAGCTGAGGTTAATAATTAATATTAAATTATAGCCTATGGTTGTTGCAGTTTTTTGTGTTGTCAATATGCTCGTGTGTATATAGGCCTATTGTTGTGTATGCATGATTGTATATTTACAACTACCTCCAGGAAATGTAAGGGTCTTGAGTCACTGGCATTGTTATTTAGGGGGTCTCCGGCTGAAAGGTTTGGGAACCCCTGATTTAGTTGGGGATTTTTAAAGTCATTATTTTACTCTTCAGCGTAACATATTTCTCTAGAAATCATTCTAATATGCAGATTTGGTGCACAAAAAGAATTTCTTATAATAAAAGTGTTTTAATAAAAAGAGAGAGAGAGCGAATTAATGATCTAATTTTCCTTACCGTAGAACTGTTCCTTACTGAGTGTATAACCCTAGAAACAGTACATCTGTTTCCTTGACTAGAATCGTGGAAGTTCATAACCTTATTTGTGCAGAAAAAAGGTAGCAAGAGAAAGCAGCATTTGCAGAAGAGAGAGAGATAGAGAGAGAGCAAGCAAAAGAGAAAGAAGAGGAAGAGAAACCAAGAGAGCCTGACTCAGTGAAATAAAGAGGGATTGAGATTGCTGCTGGAAACTGTGCGTCATTTCGTGTGTCAGCCAGGAGAGACAAGTGTGTGTGGGCCAGGCGTGGGTGTTGTGTGTGTGTGTCTGCATGTGTGCAGCTGTCTTTACTCTTCCCTTCAGTAAGTGATGACTGAGCCTGTGTTGTTTTCAGCTCAGGATTCGCGCTCAATTCACACTCTGCAGGTGTCTCTCTGTATTCAATGGAGAGAAAGAGAGAGACCGCCAATAAATACACACTGACAATTGTTTTATTGATCTTTAAAAACCTGAAAATTTGTTGTCTTCTAAATTACTTATCTTCTAATTTTTAAAGGAATTTTGATATCTATTTTAAAATTAAATGCATTCACTGGCCACATTATTGGGTACCCTTGTTCAATGCAAATGTTTATTTAGCCAGTCACACAGCAGCAGCACCATTTAGGCATTTAGATCATCTGCTGACATTCAAACTGAACATCAGAATAGGATTTAAAAAGTACAATTCACCCAAAGATGAAAATTTAATCATGATGACTCAAATGGTTTGAGCTTCTTTATTGAGTTCTGAAGATATTTTGAAGAAAGCTGAAAACCTACAACCATTGACTTCCATAGCTGAATAAAGTCACATGATATGATGACTTCTGATTTCTGTCGTGACATTTATAGCAGGGTCAGAGTTTGACATTAACAATATAATGCATAGACCGTTCCTCTTGTCTTGAAGGTTGTCTAAAAAGGTTGCTGGTTTTAGTGCAATGGTGTGGAGGATATTTTCTTGTCAGATCTTTGGTACCATTTAGTACCATAGCATTAGAACCATTTGAGAATAGTTTCAATGGCACAGCCTGCCTGAATATTTGTTGAGAATTCATCATGTGATTGGTACATCCAGCTGGATAGCCTGTCATTCAAGGCTCAAATAATATCAAACTGTTGTCTTGAATATGACAAGGAGTTCACTTTTCTAGGCTGGTCTTGGGAGCCACTAGATTTTGAAAAAAAAAAAAAAAAAAAACATGGAAATGTAAAAGGAAAAACAACCTTTTACTTAATCTTCATTCAGGAGATTATGAACAGCTAAAAATCTCTTGTGGCCTGTTAAAAAGGTTGCTGATATAAAAATGTGGAGTTAACAGAAAAACTTGCTGACCTTGTCTGTTGCTATGTTGTTTAACCATTTAACCAACATCATGACCATGTATTGTCTGTCAGCACCATGGCCATAAATATGTATGTGTGTGTGTGTGTGTGTGTGTGTGTGTGTGTGTGTGTGTGTGTGTGTGTGTGTGTGTGTGTGTGTGTGTGTGTGTGTGTGTGTGTGTGTGTGTAAAGATTTATATATATATATATATATATATATATATATATATATATATATATCAAATTTTGGGGTCAGTAGGATTTTTAAATGTTTTAAAATAAGCATATCCTGCTCACCAAGGCTGCATTTATTTAATCAAAAATACAGTAAAAATGGTAACATTTTGAAAAGTTATTGCACTATAAAATAACTGTTCAAAAGTAGTTTATCATTTAATTTAATAATTTATTCCAGTAATTTTAAATATTTTTCAGCTTCAGGACTCCAGTCTTCAGAGTCACTTGATCCTTCAGAAATCACTCTATTAGTTATTATTATTATTATTATTATTATTATTATTATTACTATTATTAATGGTCATAGTAATAAAAGCAAAAATGAGTAATAATTTCATTTATAACTACATAAAATAAGTAATAACTATTCGATAAGAATTTAACAATATAACTTTTTTTTACATTTAATAAATACTGCCATGATGAGCAGAATCATTTTCTTAAAAAAAACAAAAAAAAAACATAAAAAACCTGACTCCAAACTTTTTTACGGGTAGTGTATATATATACCTTTTTTCCTGACTAAATGACATTGTATTTTAGCTTGGCTTTGTCCAGCATGTATACAAATCAGTTTAACTGTGACTGACAAAGTCAAGGACTTTTAAAAAGAGTGTATTTAACACATTTTTTATTTGATTGTCAATCAAATCAATTTTGATTAGTTTGAAATCTAAATTTTGATAGCGTGTGAAAATGTTTTGTCTCTTGTTGACCTTGTATTGGAGTCAGGCTGGTCAGCTGTTGTCTATTTGTATTTGAAACAGAAAGCTGTGTCAGACACTGTCTCACGAATGCACATTCTTCAGTTGTAATATGGGTTTAACATTAGGGCCCTGGCCTTGGGGCCTTTTTCTTGTAGCATGTGGGAATCCCATGATGGAATTTTTTCCTCCCTTCACTTCTCCTCCAGATACAGCTGAGGAACTGTAGACACGGACCTGCTGTAAACTCATAATGACTGCTCTTCTTTCCTTTTTTTTCCCTAAAGGAGTATGAGTTCAGGGCGGGGCCTGCTACAGGACCACCCCTTCACCCTCCACCAACGAGACGCAAGAATCTGGAGTTTGAGCCTTTGTCCACCACCGCTCTTATTCTGGAAGACAGACCTGCGTAAGTGTGAAACGTGAAGTTCAGCTCCCATAATGCATTGCTTAAACTACTGCAAGCACCCATTTAATCAAATATTTACCCAAATTCCCTGGCCGCTGCTAGTGAAACATAAGCCATCACACCAAATGTGTGCATATGAACTTGAAGAGCAGGTTTTATTATTAAAGTAATTGAACAGAACAGTTTGTGCTTGGCGTATTGTTAATTATTACAATTTGTGGCTGCTTATAGTATAGTTACTGTGAGCCACTGTTACTCATAACCAGACAAATTTCACACATGAGTGAGATTACTTTTCATATTGATGTAACTTAGGAACTTGTGGGGTAAAACTAGCTGGAATGTAGTTGCTTTGCTTTCCAGATAACATAATAGTAGAGAGCAAATATTTCTGTGAACAAAGATGTAACTGCATATTCAGCAATTGATGAAGCAGATTTTATAATATAAGGATTAACAATCTTAAAGACAAATACTTGGGTAAATGCGTGCCTCTCACTGTGTAAGGTGGTTTTGTGTCTGCTCTGAAAGAGAAAATGCACAAGATTCAGAGTAAAATCCTTCTGTTGACAAAAGGATTTAAACCAAAACCAAAAAAACAACTGACATACTGGAGGGCTATTAGTGAAAACAGGGATAAATCTCCTCTGAAATCTGGAAAGTGTTGCAGAAATTTCCAGTTCTTTGTAATAACAGATGGTCAATTTTTATGTGCAAATCAGAGATTAACACTTTTTAGCTTCATGGCACAAATTTGGTTTTGTCATTTTAAAATGACGCTGAAGCATTTTATCCATGTTAAAAAGACTTTTATATACAAAAAAAAAAAAAAAACTAAAATGACGTGTGTAGTGGTGTGTGTTATTGGTTTTCTCTACTAATGGCAGGCTGCAACTATTTATGAAGCTCATCATGATGAGTAATTCTGGTTTATAATAGTGCCACATAAATTGCATATTGTAGCTTTAACTCTATGTATAGGTTCTATGTATGTCTCAGTAAGTCACATTCATTACGTTGATCAAAAGACAAGCTTCAGAGTTTCTATACAAATTTTACGTAGCATAACTTTAAAATTTAGTTAAAAATAAAATTTAGATTTTACTTGAGCAACTATCAGCATTGCAAGGGATGGCTCACCTAAAATGAAAACACCTACCCTCATGTGGTTCCAAACCTTTTTGATAAAAAGTTTCTTTATTATTTTAAACTCAATATTTGGAAGAAAGCCAAAAACCTGTAACTATTGACTTTTATTGAATGAAAAATTAAAACTTTGGAAGCCAGTGGTTAGAAGAAATATTGACAGGTTTGGAACAAGTAAACAATGACAGAATTCAGTTTATATCCCCTTAATGCAGTTTCAACTTCTTATATATTTCTTATATATGTATAATTGTAGAAACCTGCCAGCTAAATCAGAAGAGGAATCTCAAAGACACCGGCAGGAGTACAGTGAAATGGTTGCAGGGGCCAAGAGAAGGGGTGAGTAATGCATGTGTCTTTGTGCAGATGCTCATTAGAGTATGATTGCAATGGTAATGACATTTGGCACTTGAGACCATGCACCTTACACATTCACACACACACACACACACACACACACACACAAACTGCTGCATTAATGTTGTTACCTAACCTCTTACCCACATACACCTTTTCTTCATTTAGAGATGAAAGAGGCGCAGAAGAAAAAGCGTCAAATGAAAGAACGGTACCGTCAGGAGGAGAACATCGCCAGTGCCATGGTGATCTGGAACTCTGAAGTCCTGCCTAACTGGGAGAGCATGTAAGTAAAGAAACTTGATACAGAGGAACATAACCTACTGCCAGCTAGCGATTCAGAAGTGTTATTGCAGAGCAACAGAAACAGCAGTCAGAAGCATAAATGCACGGCTACGCGCAAGACTGGTGCCGTGGGCCATGCTGATCACTCGACACAGATGTATAAATCAGCCCTTTCATACGTTTGTTAGTTTTGCATTTAGAAGTACACACGCTTTAAAGTCGAGATGTCCCATTTTGATGTCTGCATCAAATTAAAGCAAAACTGACAAAATATGCTAAGCTAGTTTGCTTAGAGTGGTGTCCTGAACACAATTTAACCAAAGAAATTGATGAAAAAAACATTTTTGTGAAGCAAAGTCCCTTTCAAGAAATGTCTGTTCTCTTAGCAATCATATTTGCAACAGCTCCGGGAAGTTCATCCAAGTACAAGTCCTATCTAAATCAATGTGAAATACTGAAATCTCAAAAACAGCGTGCTGAACTTGCAATTAAATTCCTTTTCTGAATATGTAGGAAATTTTTTGTTTTTATTGATCCTTACTCGGCATCACAAACAAAGATTTATCAACCTCTTATAATGTTTTTTGTTATGTTGTAGGCGTAACACTCGGCGGGTACGCGACCTTTGGTGGCAGGGCGTTCCTCCCAGCGTCCGAGGAAAGGTCTGGTGCCTCGCCATCGGGAATGAACTCAACATCACTCCAGGTAAACATGACAGCTGCTGCACTATTCACATTTGCTTTTTCTTGATCATCTGTGGCCATCTGGCTCAGTGTAACATCAGTCTGACAAATCATACAAACACAGATTGTGTCCAGATGAACTGTGTTGACACTGAAGCAGATGTTGTGTTTGTCACGGCTGTTGTGTTTTGTGTGTTTTAGAACTGTATGAGATCTTCCTGTCCAGAGCCAAAGAGAAGTGGAGGAGCTTCAGTGAGACCAGTTCAGTCAATGAAAATGAAGGTCTGTGTTTGTTGACACAATGATGGTAGTCAATCTTTTTTTGTCCTTCACTAATCTGACTGTAAACTAAACTAATGCATAGAAGCATGTCACTAAACAATCTTATCTTTGAAAGTGAAGCCTCACTTTCATGGATGAGTTGAAACAAAGCAGATGACTTTTCTTATCTACATTGACTCGGTAAAGGACAATGAAATGCATTTTTATGCTACACTCATGTTAATTTTACATTTTTTTTTTCAATTTCAAAGGGTAGTTCACCCAAAAATTAAAACACTAAAGAGGATTTATTGAAGAATGTTGAAAAAAAGCAGCCATTGATTTCTATAGTATTTTTTGTTTCTACTATGGATGTCAGTGGCTGCTTTTTCCCAACATTAATCAGAACATCCTGTTTTGTGTTCTACAGAACTAAGAAATTCATAAAAGTTTGGAACCACCAAAGGGTGAGTAAATGGTGAGGAAATTTGCATATTTGGGTGAACTGTCCCTTTAAGAGTCATGAGAATAATGTTGTATTACATAAATTATTTTAAGGGGCACCTATGATAAAATTCTTCTTTGACAGCCGCGTATTAACATGTCTCCGTAGTTACATGTATAATCATATCAGCAAAGCACCTGGGATTAAAAGATCTGTTGAGCTCTCTGTGATCATCAATCATCATCAAATGTGATCAAGAATGAGTTTTACAAGTTGTTACAAAAAGTTTTTAAATCAGTGCATGTTTGTTATGAATTACAGCAAATTTACAGTCTTTACTTCATCACCACAGCCGCATGTCAGTACAATTATAAAAGAAGACGCTTTTTGTTTGTGGATATTAAATCAGGTTTGTTTTGTACATTAACATAACAGATATCCATACAGTAGTGGATATTAACGTGTTTCCTGTCACACTTGACATGCAAAACATGCAAAGTTAACAACCTTATAAAGACATTGTGTGTGACTCATCATTGCAGAAAGGCTTGAATTAACTCCACAACAAATACATCAAATAATCATTGGGAAAGTTCTTACTGAAGTATTTCTCACAAACATTACATGAGATCTGCTTTCTTCGTGTCTGACACTGTGCTGTTTATCTAACGCAGCCGAGGTGGAGATTGAGGCACACTCTGACAGGCACATGGGGACGGCGAGCGGGGAAAACTAGCATTAAAGGCACAGGCCACAAAAACAGCTACATAGATTTCAGAGCAGTAGATTTTAATATTCTGAAAGGTATAATAAATAGTCTAATGGGTATTTTGAGCTGAAACTTTACAAACACATTCTGGAGACACAAAAGACCTAAATCTTGAAAAGGGGTAAAATAGGTGCCCTTTAAAACATATTTTACTTTGTTACTAGTCTTAGTGTATTTGAATGAAGAAAATAGTCTGGGTGCACATAAGATACTTTATTAAAATAAAGACAAACAATAGTATTTTTAAATATCACCAGACTTTTGAAAGGTGTGTATATAGTTTATAGTTTTTTCTTGCTTTTTTTACTACTGTTCTATATTATTGCATCAGTTCTCTACACATTGATTTAAATGCCACTCAACATTGCTGTTTTGAATGTTTATTACATCCTCGTTTTTCATTCATCTGACTTGAAGGGAAAAATTCTGTCTAAATATTTATATATTTTTAAATTCATTTCAGAGCAAAATTGTAAAGATTGAATTCTGTCAAAAGAATGAAAAATAAAGCTGGCAACCATCTCCAGTCTGACTGATGACTGTATCCGGTTTTAATTGATTAGATTGTGGCGTGTCACTGGCAGACCGAGAGTCTAGTCTGGATTTAATCAAGCTGGATATTTCTAGAACCTTTCCCTCGCTCTACATATTCCAGAAGGTAAAAACAGTCTAGGCTCTGCAGCCCATTGTTTATGTATGTTTTTTTTTCCTGGTTGTATAATTTGTTCCCAAAATGACCGTCATTCTCTGACCATCAGGGTGGACCATATCATGATATATTGCACAGTGTGTTGGGGGCCTACACCTGTTATAGGCCTGACGTAGGCTATGTAAGTATTCTCTTTGCTTAACATAAGCAGGGGTGCACATACATCATTTTTGGTTTTGTCTTTATATTTAAAATTAACTTAAACATAAAATCCGAACATGAACATTAATTTTAAATATGTTATTTAAAGATGGTATATAGTGGCTCACAGTATTCTATATGCAGGATTGCATGATCTGCTGGCGCTTTGACAGTTTGCTTGATTGTTCAACTTTAAACATGGATTGTAAATATGTTATTTAAAGATGGTATATATTTGCTGTGTTCTCTATACAGGGCCGCATGATCTGCTAGTGCTTTGACAGTTTGCTTGATTGTTCAACTTTAAAAATGGATTGTAAATATTTTATTTAAAGATGGTATATATTGGCTGTGTTCTCTATGCAGGACCGCATGATCTGCTAGTGCTTTGACATTTTGCTTGAGTGTCCAATTTTGGAGTTGAAATGTAGTTAAGCTTTTTAGAATTCCAGCACCAAACTACACATACGTCCATTTACTGTACCATAAAGTTCAATAAATTAATAAAAATAAGTAATTGTCTGCTGAAGTTGTGCAGAAATAAAACTAAATTATCTCTCCTTGCTGCATGTAAAGTATACGTGTCAAAACAGCAAGTAATAAATAAACACACAAATCCATACTGTATGTAATTATTAGCAGCTCAGTTCCATGATTTGGTTTGATTGTTAAAGCCTGAAGTGAACCGCACCAGAGTTTAAGTGAACCATGCACCAGACTAACACAGTTGACACCAGGCGTTTGTAATTATTATCTTGCCAGTGATGCATGGGCAAATTTTTGATTTTGCAGTAACTTGGGTAACAAGTTTGTCAACAGTACTGGTAGATAAAAGCATCATATCTGGCCTGCATTGTTTTTATTTTAATCATGCATGCACAACTTCGAAGTTTATGTGCCCTGGACATAAAGCTTTCTTTTATTAAAAGTTTGTACTAAAGGTTTGCAATGTTTTGTAAATGTCTTTATAGCTCTATTGCAAAATGATCCCTTTTCATTACCTGTATTAAGGAGTTTTTTTTTTTTTTTTTTGCAATTAAAACTTATCCTCATGATTAGTCATTATAAAATTCATCACAGATATACACTACCAGTCAAAAGTTTGGAATCAATTTCTTTTTCTTTTTCTTTTTTTTTAAGAAAATTATTCTGTTCATCAAGGCGGCATTTATTATATGTAAAAACAATTGTTGAATATCTATTAAAATGTTAAATAACTGCTTTCTTATTGTATGTAGTTTCAAATTAAATTATTACTTGAGTCATTATTGCTTTTATTACCATTAATGATAATAATAAAAATAATAATAATTAATATTGGAGTGATTTCTGAAGGATCATGGGACTCTGTAGAACAGCTTTTGAACAGTTATTTTATAGTGCATTAACATTTCACAATTTTACAATTTGTACTGTATTTTTGTTTAAATAAATGCAGCTTTGGTGAGCAGGAGAAGCTTATTTTAAAACATTTGAAAAACATTCTGAGCCCAAACTTATTACCGGTAGTGCAGGTAGGTTTACATGTAAGGCAGCCTACACACTAGCTATTATTTTTAATAGAAGGTGACATATTCATGCTAGACAAGCATTCATTTATTATTAATCATGTCTTATTGATGTCTGCATGGTAAATAGTGGCATTTCTCTGTCAATATGTTCAAGTTATAACGTTTCATATTCAGTCCAGACATACCACATCATCTTTAAAGAATAATCATATGACTTTTTAAACACCTCATGTGACCCGGAAATGCGAAAACAAAATGGAATGAGACTATAGTTTCTAGCTAGATAAGTCTAGAAAATAGCGACCTTTTAATTTCCGTCAGTCTTGGTACACAATATGTGGTGACGCTTTCAATAGGACAATTATCTGAACTCATTGGTCATTTTTGAGCAAGATACTAGTCCGATTAAATGCTCTATGCTAAGCTAAACTAAGCTAAAAATGCTCCTGCCAGACCCGAAGAATTGCTGAATAGATGAAAAAAATTCTAAAACTAAACTACACTAAACTGTTTAACTTTAGGGAAGTTTTTTTTAAAGTGTAGTTTAAAAAAAAAAATAGTTTTGCAATATGTAGCCATTATTTGTGCTAAGTTTACGTGTTTCCATTAAGAATATTTTTAATTTACTATTTGAATCTGTGCAATTCGAAAGGTAATAGAAACTTACCTACTGATGAACTGTCCTTGTGCATTTATGAATGTCATTCTATGGGAGTTTTACATTTGTGTCTGGTGTGATTTAGGTTCAGGGGATGTCCTTCATTGCTGCTGTTCTCATTCTGAATTTGGAGGAAGCCGATGCCTTCATTGCCTTTGCCAACCTTCTCAACAAACCATGCCAGATGGCCTTCTTCAGAGTGGACCATGACCTGGTACACATGCACTCTCAATTTTCATCCAACGAATTTGTGGTAGACCTGCAACATCACCCATATTTGCTCTTAAAATAGAGGGAGCAATGTGTCTGCATTTGCTGTCAGCATTTATTCCAACCATCTGTTGACCCACTTTATAGAGATTTAATTTGCCTGACACACTCTGAGTTAGAAACTATGAGCCAAGAACTCCCAAAACTGCTGATGAACATTGCTTTTAGCACACACACTGCTTTTGATCAGGCTTGTGTTTAAGTTGGACTCGCTGTAACGATACTTTGTTTTCCTCCAAAGATGCTGAAGTATTTTGCAGCGTTTGAGGTGTTTTTTGAGGAGAACCTTCCCAGACTTTTCCAGCACTTTCAGAACAACAGCTTGACGCCTGACTTTTACCTCATAGACTGGTAAATCAGCTTTAAAATCTCTCTTCCTGCTGTGTTTGCTCGTTTTTCTTCTCTCTGTGTTGCTTTTCCTTGTTTTGAAATGGGAGAGCAGAGGTTGCAATGCTTTCCTAACGCAACTCTTTATCGCCCCCTAGGGCTGCTTTTATGTTTTGTCAAACGAGAGAAAATGTTTTCATATTTCCTCTAGAAAAGTAAGCTTGAAACAAGTCTAAGGTGGTTAAGTGTAGAATTAGTGTCAAGCTTTTACAACGTAATGTACATAATTCCTTTTTCCATTTATTTAATAGAAGCATATATTTGAAAAGCACTGTTGTTAGTCCACCTGTAAATTTTCTTCTTCAAATTTTTTTCTTCAAATATTTCCCAAATGCTGTTTAATTAAAACACATTTTTTTTGCATAATAGTTTTAAACTAAATAGTAAAAAAAAAAAATAGTAGGACTGTGAAACATAGCTGCATTATTACAATTATTATGAGAAATGATAATATTATGAACAATTGTATTTTGTTGACTCTCAAAAGACAAACGTGAATTAAAAACTGATTGTGTTAATGAGAACTTTTAGCAGCTGCCGTATTTAATTACGTTTCCATCTTCACACATCCAGAGCAGCTGATCGGAGGAGGTTTTGCTAGTCTTTGACAGCTCTGTTCACTCTGTTCTCAGGATCTTCACTCTGTACAGTAAGTCTTTACCGCTAGACGTGGCGTGTCGTGTTTGGGATGTGTTTTGTCGAGACGGAGAGGAGGCGTTATTCCGGACGGGATTGGGGATCCTGCGGTTGTACCAGGATGTTTTGCTGCAGATGGATTTCATTCATAGTGCGCAGTTTCTTTCCCGGTTGCCTGAAAACACTCCTGCACACACACTCTTCTCCTGCATCGCAAACACACAGATGATCAGCAACAACCGCCGCTGGAACCAGGTGAGAAACACACACTTGTACTATTTTTTTTTTAAGGAGTTTTCAAGTGTCAGGATTAAAAAAAAAGTAAATGGCACTAAACAGTTGAAGAACCTTCAGTGTGCTCCTATATGTGTTCCTCCTGCAGGTTTTCTCCACTCTTATAAAAGACAGACTTAAAGAAACGGACAAAATCAGCAACAGCAGCAGCAACAGCAACAGTCCAGCCTTAAGAAGCTGAAAGCAGCGGCCTCGGAGAATGTTTAGAGACGTCACTCAGCACTTTGACCTTCAGCAGTGTGTGCCTGACCAGGACATACAAGTACTGTCCCGTTTGAAGAAGCTCACGCTGGACCCCGAGTCCTGTGGAGGAGACGTCTCTTCACTAGCTCTCGGCAGCCTGCTTGTGCATATGTTTGAGCCTGAGAATAAGACAAATGTGAGTCGGGTGACCGTATAATGTGCCAACTTTGTCAATGTTACTTTTGTAATGTTGTAACTATGAGAAAACAAACTAATCTGAAGCGTTTACACACACACACACACACACACACACAGAGAGGCCAAACGCCAACACTCCCTGTTATGAACCAGCGTTAAGCCCTCTGTTATAAACACACAACATAAACCTGCGGTAGCCTTTCATTAGCACATACCAAATCTGTTGTTAATGTGTTTGTTATGCTGTTTCGTTCAAGTTAGCTGAATTTAGCTCATTTGCTAACATATTTGCCATTGAGTTTTCCTCAGTGTCGCAAAAACACGTCAAAAGTGGAGCCAAAAGTGATAAATGAACATATTATATCTTTAGACCAGTGCTGTGATGTACTAGCACTCCAGATTTGAACACTTATAAAAAAAAGTCAACTATATTAATTGAAGTGAAACATTACAAATGGACACAAACTAACTAACCAGCAGCAAACAAGAGATCAACTTTTGCACCTTCGACACTCCAAATGAATGAACCTTGACATTTCCAGATTTCTTTTTCAGTTATTTAATGTCTTTATTTTATTTATGAATCATTTCTCTTGCTTTTTCTCTGTCTCTTTTGTTTACTTCCTCACTGTTGTACAGTTTTCTTACATAACCGTTGTTAATGAACATTTCTGGTGTGAGGGCTGTAGTGTAGATGTGGAAAAATCGCAGTATTGGAGACTTGCCGTCTTCCTGTCTTTCTTCCTTTTTTTTTAATTTTATTTTAATTATGAAATGTAATGTTACACAGAAGTTGATAGAAAGTGTGAACCGAAACATGGGGTTAGCGTGTATTTAAGAGAGCCATTCGCAGATTGTTGGAAAATGTGTTTTCCAATTCTTTGGATTTAAATATTAAATTTAATGAAATCCCTACTATTTTCTTGGAATTTGGTTATCGTTCACACTGAATGTGTTTTTGCATTCCACTGTGATGCTTTTCTATTGTTTTTCTATGCAAATTTGTGATAGACACTTTTATGTATTGTGCTTTTTCTAGAGCCGGGGTCACCAATCTCGTTCCTGGAGGTTCGGTGACCTGCAGGGTTTAGCTCAAACTTGCCTCAACACACCTGCCTGGGTGTTTCATATATACCTTTTAAGACCTTGATTTGCTTGTTCAGGTGTGTTTGATTAGAGTTGGAGCTAAAATCTGCATGACACCGGACCTCCAGGAACAAGTTTGTTGATCCGTGTTCTAGGGCCTCCAGACCTCATGTTCTTTGATTTTAGTTTGGTTTGCTCTTTCAAAATGTTCATCTTTCAAAACAGAAGTTGACTAGTCGATTCTTATGTTGGAGACTAAAATTGACCATTTAAGGCACAGTTGTAAAATCCAGTTGCTGGAGGGCTGCAGCTCTGCACTGTTTATTTCCAACCCTGCTTGAACATAATTAAGCTGTGGTCACACTGCACTTTTCTCCCCATTGACTTCCATTCATACGCACGCGAATGCAACAGACTTGAAACGCAAGGTCGTGCGGCAAGTTTCCCAGTTCACTGCGTTTGGAAAGTTCAAGCTTGGTGAACTCTGACCTGCGAAATCGCCTCAAGTGACTGTGTGAGACCAATCGAAGATCAAAACATGACCTCTCTGGACAGAAATTCAAAATAAAGAGCAATCGATCACTTTTTTTAATTGTCTAATCATCTTGTTTAATCCCACCCCTGTTCGCAGCGTCGTACAGCAGAATTTTGTACGCACAAACTCTAGTGTGACCGCAGCTTTACCTGTAGGTTTCAAACAAAACTAAAGGACCTGATTAGTTTGATCAGGTGTGTTTAATTAGGGTTGGAACTGAACTGTGCTGAGCTGCAGCCCTCCATGAACTGGATTTGATTTGTGATTAAAAGCCTCAAGTTAATGGGTTAGTTCACCCAAAAATTAAACTTTTGTTAGTTACTCACCCTTATTATCCATTCCCCTGAGACATTTGTTGATCTTCAGAACAGAAATAAGATATTTCGGATGAAATCTGAGAGCATCCTCGTCTTCCAAGGGTTCACAAATGTTCAAAGTCCAGGAAAGTATCCAAAAACATTGTCAAACTTACTTCAGCGGTTCAACTGTAATCGTACAAAGCTCCAAGTACAATTTTGTGTGCCAAAAAAACTGTACAAATGTTCATCTTTGTCTTCCAATTATATCAGGTAATACGAGGCTTGCATGTTGCTGACTCTAATGGTAAAACATCGTTCTGCCTGTAGTAAATGCACACCCTGATCACCTGATGCAGGAGAACAGAGGTTAACATCAAATTTACAGTTTTTTGGCAGACAAAATTGCTTCTGGGACTTAAGATGATTACAGGTGAACCACTGTAGCAACATTGAATGTTTTGAACATTTTTAGTTCATTTTCTGTACATCTTGAGACCCTTGCTGTATGTGAAATCGGAGAGCTCTCAGATTTCATCTGAAAAATTTTACAAAATCTCAAACAATAAAAAAGGTCTCTGGATTGGAACGACATGAAGGTAATTAATAACAGATTTTTATAATTTTTTTGTGTGAGCCTTTAAAGCCAAAGTAAATTATTTTACTGCTTTAATTAAAATTTGATTCAATTAAAGGGATTGCTCACAAAAAAAAAGAAAATTATTTCCCTTCCTTTTGTTCAAATTGATGTTTTTTTGTACATAAAATGTTGATTGAAGAATTTTGGTAATCATACAGTTGACCATAGTCATTGATTTCCATAGTACATTTTTAACTACTATGGTAGTCGGTGGCTACCGCCAACGGCTAACAACAGTCTGCACACAACAATCTCCTATATATATTGAAACAACTTGAGTAAATGAATAATTTTAGGTAAACTCTCTCTTTAGGCTTACAGTCATAAACCCTACTTTGTTACTTGATGTTAAAGTGGTAATAAGGCAGTTCATAATACAATTAGAACATGGCCTCATCAGTGGATTTGAAGTTATTTAAGGAATTTCTCCCTGAACAGCCCAAACTATTTTAGAGGTTAGCCTTACTATATATGTATAATCTTTATTAAATTACTGTTGGCTTTTTAAGAATGCATTCATTTATGTGCTTTTTACACATCTTAAAAAAAAAAAAAAAAAAAAAAAAAACACACTTTGTGTTTCAATTATGCATTTTTACACTGTGTGTGTGTGTGGTTGTAGAAGTTTCATAGGTATGATACACTGATAACACATTTTCTTCCACAGCTGTTTACATTCACAGACATAACCACTAGTGTTATGTGAACTTGTGCATTTGAAAACATGACAGTTGAAGTGAAAGAGAACTTTAGCGTAATGCTCATTCAACATGGCATCTGGTAACCGGCTCTTTGTGTGTGCCCTTCTGTGTTTATGTGATCAGGAGTTTAAACTGACAGTTTTAAAACACAATTGTTGTTGCTGGAGTGTCCTAGTACAGTACGATCCATTTGGAAGGGCTTATCCCTGTGCCCTAATCACTTAGAAGGGTTTACCCTCCAGAGTGACAGCTTCAAAGAGATTAGGGCATAGGGATGAGCCTTTCTGAATGGAGCACACTAAACAACTTCCGTTCACAACAGTTGTCCCGAAAGGGCCCTATGAAGTGGCCAGTTTAGAGCACTTTGGTTTGGAATTGCACTATATGGCAGTCATGATTGCTTTTATTGTGAAATGACTTTAGCAAAAACAATATATTAAACATGTTCATGGTTTAGTTAGGTTGATAATTGTATCAATTAAAAAAAAATAAAATGAACAATAATTAGTTGAATCTAACCAAACACTATAAAATAGTTCACGCTGTAAATTAATTAAGGGGAAAAAATAGGAAAAATGACAATAGCATCCATTTTAATAACAGGAAAATCTCAAAAGTGCAGTTAACTGTCAGTTTTTATAAGCAAATGGTTAAAGTATTACAAAAGTTTTTTTTTTTTTGTGTGTGTTAAAAAAATAAAATTGCAACTTTGAGGAAAAGTTAACCATGAAAATAAAATAGTAAAGGGTTGTAAAACAAAGCACACTGACCACAACCTCTAATCCAAAAACATTTATTTCTGTTTTCATCTAAACGAGCTTTTAACTGAGGAAAGGATTCATTCATCAGAGCGAGCTGCGGCATGTTTGGATGGTGAAACCCCTTTCACAGAACAATGAAATAAGGGACATTAACCAGAATAACTGAACATTTAGGTTTCCAGCCAGTTTTTTTTTTTTTTTAATTTATGGTCTGTGGAGTTTAAATGTAACTGGTTGATGGTGTCTACCTGAAAGCAAATCTTCATCTGCTGCTATCGGAGTGCAGGATGCATTAAAGTAATAATTCATCCCAAAAGAATCCATCTTCATTTACTCACCCTTGTTCTAAACCTTTATGAGTTTATTTTGTTGAACACAAAAGAAGATATTTTGAAAAAGGTTGGAAATCTGTCACCATTGACTTCCATACAGTATTTGTTTTTCTTATATGGAAGTCAGTGGTTACAGGTTTTCAACTTTCTTCAAAATAATCTTCTTTTGTGTTCAACAGAAGAAACTCAAAGATTTGGAAGCACTTGAGGGAGAGTAAATAATTGGACGTTTTTTAGGTGAATGATCCCTTTAATCAACTGACTGACATTTTTAGACAGCCCCCGTCCTTGAACCAGAGAAAACCCATGAACCGCTGACTTCAGATGTAGTGAAACAGCCGATGCGAACATAGTTAAAAGCTCAAAAATACAGCCAAGAAAGAGAAACAACAAAACACATCTGAGCATCAAGGTGAATCCTTCTCAGACTTCTTCTTGTCCTTCTTCTTTTTCTTTTCTTTTTTCTTCAACTTCTTCTCCTTTTTCTTTTTCTTCTTCTCACTCTTTGTTTCAGCATCATCATCGTCGTCATCATCATCATCATCATCATCTGTTTTTTCCTTCTTTTCTTTGGATTTGTCTTTACTCTCTTTCTTCCCGTCTTTATCCTCTGGCTCTTGTTTGATTTTGACATCCAGAGAATGAGGACTTCTTTCATCCTTGATGCGCTTTCTGTCTGGACTGTGCTTTCTGTCAGGACTGCGCTCTCTGTGGTCCTGATGGAAGCGTGAAGACGAGGGCGGACTGTCCCATTTGCTAGAGGACGGGTGATGATACTCTACGTGTCTTTTGGAGTCCTTGTGCTGCTCTGTTGTCTGCATAGACAACATGTATTATTATTATAGCGCACAGTTTAATATTTTGCTTTACAGATGGAGTTTAACATAATTTAGAGCTAGTGATCTGTGGGAAATTGCTTTAAAAGGTCACCTTGCTCCTGTCGTGGCGACTGTGGTTTGCTAAATGTTTCTCGGCACTATGCATGTCCCCGAAAAACTCCTCACAGCGCTGGCAGAAGAAGCCCATCACTGGGATCAGATCACCGCTGCCTGAAATATCATACATGAGGGTTTGAACCTAATTAAAATAAGTGTAATTAAACTGTGATGGAAAAAATATCAATTGATTATAGAACACGAACAAACATGAAAAAGATCAATTCTTAAAGAATTGTTCTTTTGGTTTTAAGTCAAAAAGAAAAAAGTTACAATATGGTTTAAATAAATAATTGTATTAACTGAAACAATAAATAAAATAATTGAATAAATCACAAAATGAGTAATTGAACATAAACAATATTGTCAAATATCTTTAAATATAGCTTTAAAAAAATATCTTGTAGTCACCAAAACACAATACTATGATATGCTCACTATTGCAGAAAAAACATAATGAACCAATAAAATAAAAATGTTGTTAAATTATTGGATAGATATTATAATTGTAAACTCTTTCAGCACCTGCTAATTCAGTAAAGAAAAGCAGCTGACATTGCTAGAAGCACTTTAAAAGTAACTTCAAGTTGATTTCAATCATTCAATACCTTCCTGCTTCAGCAGACCCTCCAGTTCCTTCACCAGATACTCCTTCCTTTTCTTGTGGATCTGATTCTCTCGTCTCTCACGCTCCTTCTCATCCTTCTTCTACAACAGTCACACATATTCAAAATTAAGCCCAATATACATATATATATACACATCGTTCACACAAAAATAAAAAATTACTTGTTATTTATTAACCTACAAGTGGTTACAAAAAAAGAAGATATTTTGAAGAATGTTGGAACTGGGAGCCACTGACTTTCATGGTATGAAAACAGTGCATGTCAATGGCAACCAGTTTTAGCATTCTTTAAAATATCTTCTGTGTCCAACAGATGAAAGAAACTATGTTTTGCACATTTAAACACTTTTAAAGAATACTTAACTTGATAGTGTGCACAAACAGACTATCAACCCTTAAGTACTTGAACAACAGTGTATGGTTTATACAGTTGAAGTCAGAATTATTGCCCCCCTTCGTTTTTTTTTTATTTTTTAAACATTTCCCAAGTTCTGTTTAACAGAGCAAGAAAATTCACAGAAATTTTTTTTTCTCTGAAGAATGTCTCTTTTTTGCTAGAATAAAACCCGTTTTTATTAAAAAAAAAACATTTTAAGGTCAAAATTATTAGCCCCTTTAAGCTATTTTCCCCGATAGTCTACAGAACAAACCATCATTATACAATAACTTGTCTAATTACCCTAACCTGCCTAGTTAACCTAATTAACCTAGTTAAGCCTTTAAATGGCACTTTAAGCTGTATAGAAGTGTCTTGAAAAATATCTAGTCAAATATTATTTACTGTCATCATGGCAAAGATAAAATAAATCAGTTATTAGAGAGGAGTTATTAAAACTATTATGTTTAGAAATGTGTTGAATAAATCGTCTCTTCGTTAAACAGAAATCGGGGGTAATAAACAGGGGGATAATAATTCACAAGGGCTAATAATTCTGACTTCAACTGTCTATCAAAATCATTTTAAAAAGCAACATGATGCTTTAAATGCAGGTTGCAGGAATTACAATAGTTGCCAACCGATGATGACAAACTAAAAGCATTTTAAAAAGTCAGAATAATTCATTCTAGAAATAAAAAAAAAGCAGCTTCACTTGAAACAAAGTCTTTAAAAGCGAGTTAATAACTTATTCATTTCAATTAAACAGAGATTTGAAAAACAAAAATTTAAATGTTCCTATTTTTTTTAACATGACTAGTAATTGATTTAGATTTACTCATAGTAAGTTGTCTATACAGAATCATGGCTTAGAAAAAATGTGCTAATGACAAAATGCAATGTATGCAAACTCCAATGTACAAGAAAAAAATATTAATAATTGCATCCCAATTTAAACACTCATCGAAAGTGTGTTTTGCACTACTTTGAGTTTGTCTGGTTCAGAGTTGTGGATAAACAAACACAACAACGAAAGACTGAAGACTAAACAATACAATACAGATGCCCATAATGCACATATGAGGGGATTACAATATATACACACAACTCTATTTTAACTGTTCTAAATATTGTTCCACTAGTCTAAAAACAAAAATAAGTATTTCTAGTGTACATAAACATCAGCTAGAATTTACTTCAAAGTTTATGTGTTTGTTAGACTGTGTGTTTGCTACTGCACACATGCAAAAATCGAATGAAATACAAGTATGTTGGGAGTTTGTCATAATGCTGTTGTCAAATGTTGTTGTTACGATGGAAGACAGATTTCCAGACTCTTTGTACCTTGTCTCGCTTGGCCTCTAGATTAGAATGGCTGCTTCCAGAGCGATTACTTCTACTGTCGTCAGTTTTGGATGCTGAAATCAGATGTTAAATATTTAATGCATTATAAACCAAAGGATGTTGTGTAGTCTTTTAGGTCTTTTTATCACTTCATGACACGCCTGACAGGCTTTTAAGAGCACTGCAACACATGATGCAACACAACCACTTACAATGCACCTTCTTGACACAATCCTGCAAGCTAATTCAATTCCAACCAACTGTAATACAGGTTCCACTTAAAAATAAAACTAAACACTTTTTTAAGGGAGTTTAAAAAGCTGACCAGTGTTTTTTAGTATAACTGACACCATTGTTTTTCATTCAAGTGGACAGTTCATACAAAACATTTTTACGTTCACTCACAATCAAAGAGTTAAAATCATCTGAGATCAATTTTTTCTGTTAAAAACAAAGAATGTTGTAAACTGGTGGCCACTGACTTCTATAGTTGAAGAAAAAAAAATAGTATGAAAGTCATTGGCTACCGGCTATCAACATATCTTGTTTTGTGTTCAACAGAAGAAAAAAATAAACGGGTTTAGAACTAGTGGAGGGTGAGTATATTTGATGAGGGATGAGAATATCCGGTGCCTTGATATTGCACATTAATATTGGCCCTTTAAATTGCTGATTCATTTTTGGTTTTGACATGTGTTTTTTGGAATATTAAATCATCTTCTAGTTTTAATACATATATAGTACATAAAATGAAAATTAGCTTTGGAGCAAAATATATATTTTATGAATTGTATGCTTGTAGTTAACCACAGTAACCTTGCTAATGACAGACAGAAACATTTAAAGCTCTAATGATGTTATCTTAATTATTTCATGGTGAATTGTTTTTCCATTAGACTTAAAGGTTTCTCTTTAAACAATGTCAAATTACAGTTAACCCTTGTGTATTGTTCAAATTTACGACCCTTTCATTATGTCACGGGCTATTTTTGCCCCATTGATGTTCATTATAACAACATTTTTGATTGCAAAGCCTTGGCACCATATAATCATGCATTCTTGATTGTTGGTGGTTTGTAAGGGAGAAGTCAAATTTGTAATTTTTACTGTTGATCATCAGCTGGCACAATTAAACCCTTTAGATACATGCGAAAGAGGTCTTTTTACAGAGTTTTTAAGGTCTTTTAGAATATAAAATATGCTAACTATAATAACATCATCAAATTAATAAAATATACAGCAAATGACAAATAGATAAAATAAAAAAGGGATAAAACACACCATATCTAAATTACAATGATTTTGCAGCCAATTTGGATCTAATTTCGTCCTCTACGACAAGTTGTCGACATTATAGAATGAATTCAAATGTAAACATTAAATATGTTTCTCTCGCTCTTGCGGCTGTTTGCACACATTTGACGACAGTTTTAAAAAAGCGAAGGCAAAAAAAAATCCCGAACATTTTTGATTTAAAAATCGTGGCCGGACGCCTCAAGTCCCAAAAAGGTGCGTCTCTGTGGGTCTGCAGCGTGGAAGTGTAAACAGGTCTCATGCTTTTCTTTACTCTACTTAAACAATTACGGATGTTTGTTTATATTAGGCGGATACAAAAAAAAGTGTAAGAGGATGATAATAATAGTGTAAAAAAGATAAAATAAAATAAATATATTTGGGTGGCCCGCCCAAGTAAAGTCTATGTGTGGGAAGCACAACAACAAATTATAGTGTGCATGCATAAATACGCTCACCATGTTTACTATGTTACTATGCTCATTTAGATTTTTTTCACCATGATATGTCTAAGTGCACAAAGGTCTCTCTCACACACTCAAGTCACACAAGCGCACACACACACTATACTTCATATAAATGCCAGAAACCAGTTTGCACTGCAACTGATGATCAACAGCAGAAATGACAGATTTGACCTCTTCCCAACAGGGAAAACCACCAAAAATAAAATAGAAAACAAATGGTGTCATGGCTTTACAATCCAAGAATTATGCTAGAAGTAAATGGGGCAAAAACATAATGAAACACTAACATAATGAAAGGGCAGTAATTTTGCCCAGAGTATGTTGTTAAGTTATTGAAAATTTTCAAAGCATTTTCCCAAAACATGTCAAGATAAGATGTCACCAAAAACCATTTCATTTGCTGATACTCGGAGGAAGATGTGGCCAAATTAAGACTCAAAATTAACCTCAAATTAAGACTCAAAATTAACCTCAAAATTAACCCAAAACATCCCCAACCGCATACAAGGGTTAAAGATAATCATAATAAAAATCATAATAACAACAACAACAACAACAACAACAATAAAAGAAAAAAATCTGCTGGTTCTGACCTCTAGACAGAGCTTGCAGAGCCTCCAGAGCTGGTTTGAGCATTGAAAGTGAAGGATTTGCTCCATGTTCTTCCTTTTTCTCCTTTAATCTGGCAGCCATTTTACAGATATCGGCCATGCCTGGATTGAGGCCGATGGTCTTCAGCAGGTTTTTCACCTTCTCACATTCCTCCGGGGTGACTTTTGATGTGCTGGAAGCTGCGGGTGTCATGCTTGCAGGTAGAGCGTGTGCTGTGGGCTCCTGGAGACTGTGGGACTGGTGCTCTTTATTGAGGTGATGAAGCGGAGATCTCACAGATCTAGTCTGGGCCAGAGGAACCGTCACACCCTGAGGTTTGGATCTCTCCTCTTCCTCTCCATAAAGGAACTTCTCTTCATCTTCAACACTCTGAATTGCAGGCTTGGCCTCTGAAGGTAGGTTAGCGGGGTTCCAGGATAAGAAATTGGAAAAGCTGCTGCTGCTGTCTACACCCGTCGTCTCCTGAGGAAACGAAGAGCCGTAATACAGTCCAGCAGAGGGTTCGGTTTCAAACCTCGGCTCAGGGTCCTGGAAGGTTCTCAGTGCAGATTGATTTTCTGTATATATGGTTTCATCATGCATCTGGATAGAAGAAAAGGTATGTCAGCAAAAAAAAAAAAAAAAAAAAACATGTTAAAGGCTCCATTTAACCCTGACATTAAGATGAGTTTCCACAAATATGACACTAAAACAGGTGTAAACAGATGTTTTGAGTTTGTATTTGAAAAGACCTTTGTCTAGATTGCTTTTGTAGTGTAAATGCTCATGTAGTCGAATGCAATTGCTATCCACATCTTTTTCAATCACCAACATACTAACTCATTAATGGCAGACACCACAAAATCAAGTCTTATCAAAACACGTTAATCATATACCATTTATATATATGGAAAATTTTATATTAAACATATATTTGTAAAATATAGCATAAGCAGCATAAATTGTAGTGGTGTACCGGATCACAAATCTCACGGTTGGAATCACATTATGGTGTTTCAGTCACGAATCAGACCATTTTTCGAATCAGCCAAAAATGTTTGTCATTTTATAACCAACTCAAAAGACTAAAGACTGAATCGCTTTCTTGATTTTTGTGTTTTTCAAACATAGATTTGAAGAATTAATAAACACATCCAAATCATTTAAAATTTGTTGCGTGGGTGTTGAGATCCTGATCTTTTAATCATTAATCGTGCAGCTTACACTAAATGCTTTAATGCAGGCTTAACAAGTATTGACAGAAAACCCCTTTAATGAAACCCACCACATCCCGAATAACCTACCACAACTTCTTTCGTCATCATTATATTTTACAGGAATGCCTAAATGCTTTCATGCATCTGATTTGAAAGATGCGAGAAGTGATCTCTCTAATTTAGGATTAATATAAAACCAAAAAAAGTTATATTCATTCGCAGGCCAAACCGTGGGTTGTGATCCCTACGAATCACCCATCAACCATGATCCATTACACCTAGGGTTGTAACGGTATGAATTTTTTATGGTATGATAATCGTCTAAAACAATACCACGGTTTGACGGTTTCGCGGAATACGGTATGTTACAAATGTTACAAAATAATAGAACAGAAGCAAATTTGACTTTTTCCAAATAATATATTTTCAGTTACTATAAACAACACCACTTACAAAGAACAAATAAAAATAAGAAAATAATAAATAATGTGTCAAAGTCCAAATAAAGTCCAAATAAACATGGTGCAAATCCTCAGTAAAAAATAGATATAAATATTTACTATACTATAAATAGTTACATAACGAAACTAGATTCAATATGGAACATCCTTAGGTTTTATGTGCCAGCATGGATATGGTTGTCTGTGGATATGGATTTGGATATGGTTGTCTGCAATGCAGACAAACAGCTGCAACTTCATTTGCGTCTTTTGAAAACAGCAAGAGCAGCAGTTCTTCTTTGCTGTGTCACTGTTTTGTCATGTTTTTGTGCTGCTGTGGATGCAAAAGTACTTAGTATGAGAATTATTTCGTGCAAAACTTTTTTTTTTGCGTTTTATTTAGCCGCGCATAAATGTATGCCTATCTCTCATTCCGTGTTGTTCAAAAAGCTCATGTTGGTCCACAAACAAAAGTGAAACCTATGCTTATTGGTTGTGATATAGCGAGTTTGAACCAATCTGGGCATGGAGGAGGGACAATGCATCACTGTATCATGTCTGGTTTGTCCGGAGACACAGTGACGAGCGTTTCTTTGTCAAATCAGCGTGGTCAAATTTCTATGACGTAACCGCACTGATTCCGGGACCTCTGAAAGTCCGTGAATGTTATGTGATAAAGAATGTTATCTTCTTTATGCCAATCTTTGAATTGTATGAATCGGATCAGCGGATCAAAAGTTATTAAACATTTAAGAGCAATACTTATTTTTAGCCGCGGGCGGCTGTCTCGGTCTTTAAGGGTTAAAAGCGTTGATATGCAATTGTTCATGGTATGATAATCGTGCACGTTCAAATCGTGGTAGACCGTCATACCGGTATATTGCGACAACCCTAATTACACCCCTAATAAATTCTGGACTCTAAATATGATCAAGCTCTTAAAAACACAAGAAAAGTTATCCTTTTAGTTGATTGCATTTCCTCGTATTTTGAAATAAATTGAAAGCTATATTTTTAGATTTCCCATACACGGAGTTCACTTTTCGGTGTATAAACACTAAGCAAAAAAAATAAAGCATGCATTTAATAAAAATGTGTATCCTTAAATCAATGACAAAAAAAAAAAAATCAAGTTGTTTGACCCGCAAACTATAAAATGATCTCAACTCCAAAACATAACAGAATAGGATTGCAAACCTGGCTTCTAAGGAGGGCGTTCTTGACCAAAGGCAGGTGTTTCTCCAGCTCTTTGTTCTGAAGGATCTGTCTTAGTCCTTGAAAGAGATCAGGCATGGTGTTAGAGCTTTGAGTGCCTCCACCGCTGGTGCTGCTGGAGCTGTGGTTGCCCTCTGCTGTTCCTCTGTGAGTCTGTTTGGTGTGGCTGGGGCTCAGGCGAGGCTGACTCTTGCTGTGTGTGCTGCTCTTCCCGTGACTGCGGCTGCGGCTACGGCTGCGGCTCCTGGCTCGACTTTTGGCCCTTGTGCGGCTTTTACCTCGACTGCGACTGCGTGATCTGCTGCGAGCTCGACTCTTTCCGCGGCTCCTAGCTCGACTGCGGCCCCGGCTCTTGCCACGACTCCTGCTGCGACTGCGAGCGCGGCTCCTTCCTCTGCTCCGACTGCGTGCTCGACTCGAGTGTTTGTCTGCTGTACGATCCGTGCTGTCATTTTTATCTCCTGCTGGCTCAATACGGTCACTTGCCCCCAGGATTCGGAGAAACTCCTCTGCCTTTTTTCTATTTAGAAGCACAAAGAAATGTAATGTAATGTGTATTTATATAGCAAATTTATTGTGTATGGCCATACACCCAGAGCGTTTCACAATCATGAGGGCGGTCTCTCCACACTACCACTAGTGTGCAGCATCCACTTGGATGATGCAATGGCAGCCACGGGACTACAGAGCCAGTGAACTCACCACATACTAGTCATTGTAGGAGTGGGTATGACCCCCTTTCACACATTGACACCAGTAAATATCCAGAATGACTTTAACGGTAAATAAAAAAATAATTAAAAAAAACGATGTTGAGACAGGCACAGACGTTCCAGATTTTTTCAAGAAAAGACCAATTAACACATCCATTCCAAAATACCCATATATTCTGACCAAAATTGACCTCTTAACAGCCGCACTTGTATTTGTAAACATAGAAGGGGTTCAGGCTTTTGCTTTATGGTTTCACTTTTGTTTAAAGCTTTAACATTCATGCAGCTGTTTTGCCCCAGAAACATCTTAAGGCAGAAACACGAACCGCAGCTAAATGTTTACACATTTGACTACACTGCAAATTCTGTGGATGGAGAAGTGTTCTGATTAACTTTGATAAAAACAAATGGAGAAACACTTTCGCATGTCAAAATGTACATAATGTGTGTATGTGCTGACGCTCACCGAAGTACTTCTTTACGCGTCAAACAACTGAAGCAGCTTAAAAGTAAATTCACAGCATTTTTTTATAAGCATTTTATCTATAGATTTTCCACAGTTGGCATTAATCACAACAAAGAAACGTTATCTGACTAACATCTAGCAGCTAAATGTGTCTGGAAAAGATTCAAAGGCTTTTATTTTCAGAAACAGCGTGGATGTGAATGAGTCTGAATGTTCTGATTGGCTAGAGTCATGTCAGCGCGTTCTAGATGTGAACGCGCTCTTTGCGGCAATTTTCCTCCTGCCTTTACACAGAGCAGCAGTCCAGCAAACTACCTGTAATGTTTCAACTTCTCTTTCCAGGAACTTGCCGGAACAAATTTAATAATATTTTCAAAAAGGGCCTGTTCACACAAATGTGAAAGGGGCTAGTGATAGAGCCAATTGATAGATGGGGATGATTGGGAGGCCATGATGAATAAGGGCTGATGGAGGGAATATGGCCAGGACACCTGGGTTACATCCCTACTTTTTTTACACCTAAAAAGTGCCATGGGATTTTTAATAACCACAGAGAGTCAAGACCTCAGTTTGACATCTCACCTGAAAGAAGAATTACATGGTTAGTTTTATGGAAATGCACTGAAGTTGCGCTTACTGACAGCATAGCCTCCCCTTCACTATACTGGGGTACTCACACAACCCCCTGCTGGCTACTAACACCACTTCCAACAGCAACCTAGTTTTCCCATGTGGTCTTCCATCCAGGTACTGACCGGGTGCAGCCCTGCTTAGCTTCAGTGAGTAACCTCTTTTGGGCTGCGGGGTGATAAGGCTGAGGCTATATTTAATGGAAAGAAAATGTAGATTGCTCAGGGGTACATATTATTCATTCATTCATTCATTTTTTTTTCAGCGTAGTCCCTTTATTAATCTGGGGTCGCCACATCGGAATGAACCGCCAACTTCTCCAGCACGCTTTGCACAGCGGATGCCCTTCCAGCTGCAACCCATCACTGGGAAACATCCATACACACTCATTCACACCTACACACTACAGACAATTTAGCCTACCTTATTCACCTATAGCGCATGTCTTTGGACTGTGTGAGAAAACGAAGCACAAAATGCAGCAACTAAAATGTCACTTAGTGTATAATAGTTTATACATCAAATCATCATCTTGTCTGGCATTTTAGGGCCACAATAACATATTAAAATGTTTATTAAAAGTCTATCACATTGCAACATTAGAGTACAGTTTATACGGCTTTAATAATTTATTTTTATTTGATCCTTTTTGATCTTTTGCCCTTGACCCACATACAGTTGTGTGACACAAATTGATCTCACTTTAAACAAACTTTGACTCTACTTTTTTCTCCAATCATACCTGACTTCTTGGTTTTGCTCATCCAGACTTTTAGTTGACCAGTTTTGTGTGGACTGACCAAGCAAAAGCTGATTTGATGGTGTGATCATCGTGGAACCGCTCTGGTCAGTAGTGAGACCACCAAAGGGTCGGTTCTGCAGTGGAGAAAGAGCAACATAAAAAATATCTGTCATTAATAATAATCCTGTGAATGTGTTATTCAAGTAAAACATAGGCCATTGATTGACCTATAGTAGAAAGCCATGAAACCACAATGCATTTTATTCTCTTTAAATCTAAAAAAAAAAATAACGTTACCGCCAAATTACTTTTAACAAAAGTAAATCAGCATATAAGGTTAAATTAATTACTGAGATGCTAAACAATCCTTAAACTCATTTTTAATCACATGACATCACACTCATTGATTGCATGTCAAGTTCCACATACAATACCGAAATCATTGAACTATTATTTCGTGCACCGCTATCAAAATGCATATCTTGCATTAAATCCATAAATATACATGACATAGATATAATAAAACATATTTTAAAAGACGTAACGTACATCCGGTATTTCTATCAGCTCGATCTGTGGGACAAATAAGTGCAGGTTGTTTTTATGAATGCACAGTAAAAACTCGCACCTCGTAGAATGAATCTCTGTTGTAGTTTTCATTGCCTGGTCCGTACGGGCGTCCCGGAGGGGGAATAGGCTGCGGACTGCAGTATCGAGGCCCCGGAGGAGGAACCCCAAAAGGAGGACAGAACGGCGGAGGTCCGAAAGGTGCTATAGGGTGTCCGAAACGTGATGGAGGTACCGGTGCCCGGTGATAGTCGGGGTTCGACGGACCTCGGTACATTTTTAAACATCAATATCTCATAGATACATGTGTTGTTGTAACGAGTTTGTTTCCATTCACTCTGAGCTATGAGCTCTTTTGGGTCTAAAATGAGTCTGAGTCCAGTCACAGCGCCGTCTGCAGGACTGGAGAAGTAACGCACATTATATAGGCGATTCAAAACAATGCCTGTTCAAAACTGTTTTGCTCACTTTACAAAGGCAAAATGACTAATTCACACAAAATTGAAACTGTTAAATTTATAATTTAGATTTTTTTGCTTAGATTCTATTAATTTTATATATTTCACTTTATTTTATTTCGAGTTTGTACAATTTCTACACTTCATCATAGACACAACAAATATTTTTCAATATTTTTTATGCCAATAATTAAATTACCCAAGATATAAGATCATCGAAAAGGTACCATTATCCTAAAGTTACATTTCATAGCACATCATTTATTTGTTTGTTTATTTACTAATTCATGTTTGTTTTTATCAAATTTTTATTTATTTATTTTGGCCTTTTTTTAAAAAACATTTATCTTGACTTTTTTCGATTTGGTTCAGGTTTTTCTGGTTTTGGATTTACATGGAAACATTGTAGTCTGCATTATTTCGTGTATATGGGTTTTTTCCGATATTTATAAAATGTCATATTAAAATACAGCTTTATTTCATGATTTAATAAATAGTTATTTGTGTTTATTTGTCTTTTTATATCTTTAGAATATCGCGTGAAACATAAACATGGATTTAGTTGTTTAGACAGAGATGGTTTAGAGTTTTAGAAATATATTCCGGCATATATTTGGTCAGCTTAAAGTGCTGAGACGAGGGCCCCATTATGCCAACCTAGCATTGCAGTCGTTACGGCTGCTAGAGGGAGTGATTCACAATGGAAGTTACTGATATTCTTGACTCTTTGGAGGACCTGGGGTATGTGAATGAAGTCCCCATTTATAATATGTGTTTCTGTTGTCTTATTAGAGGTTTATATTTTGGTTTACGGCACAAATGTGATCATTAGCACGCGTGCTCTGGTTCGCCGGGTGTTCTGCATGGTCTGACACCCAGATCCGCTTCTCTTATTCTCAACGTCTGTAGTTTACATCTGCTTTAAGCTGTTATTTTCAAACGTTTTGTAACCCTCAGTAGTCGAGATCTGTTGTATGTCAGGTCATTTCAGAGCCTGGGCTACTGGCACATGTATTTGACAGCGTGATTTCTGTGATCAATGTTCTGATTTGGGCCGTGCAGCCCTGCCCAGCAGTGCTTAAATATCTCAAATATCGCCAGCGCCAGAAATAGCCTGAATCATCATAGCCTAAACGAACACACCTCTGTCACCACTGCTGTGTCAGACGAGTTTACAAGATTATCAAGTCCATAGACTGTTCTAGAATCAGTGCAGAACTGACAAACATGGGTGGGTTTTGGATGTTTTATGTAATGTATTTTTAATGCTATTTGATGACTGTACCTAATTGCTGTATAATGTCTATTATTGACTTAACACATTCAGCTTTAGAAATCTATATCAGAGATAAGCAGTTACGTTTTGCAGTGTCACAACACTGGTCAGTTCACATTCTCCCAAATAGAAGTGCAGCATGATCCAGGAAACCCTCTCAAAATGCAAATATAGTCAAACTGAATGTGTGTTTGCAGATACCAGGGTCCACTTCTAGAGGATGGAACTCTTGAGACAGCTGTGACTGGTGGTGCTGAATCTCCAGAGTTCACCAAACTGTGTGCGTGGCTTGTGTCTGAGCTGAAACTCTACTGCAAACTAGAGGAGAATGTGCAGGCGACCAACTGTGAGTTTGATACTGCGCACATCATATACTCAATCAGACCAAAGAAGAGTCATTTAGGTTGTGTTTCTGCAGAATTAAAATATGTAGGATTTGCCTGATGGATTTGGGTGTGGTGTTTGCAGGTCCAAGCGAGGCGGAGGGGTTTCAGCTGGAGATGAGTGGTCTTTTAGCTGAGCTGTGCTGTCCGTATCCTGCTCTGACCACGGGAGAGGTCACCAAACGTCTGCTGAATGCTAACAACTGCGTCTTACTGTTAAGTATGTAAACAGCAAAAAGGTTCTGATCATTTATGTGGTTGTTTAGAACGTGGGATACATTATTTTGTGAAATGTGGTATGTTTAACTAGGGCTGCACAATTCTGGCTAAAATCAGAATCACTTTTTTTTTTTGCTTAAAATCAAGATCACAATTTTCTCAGGATTCTGTAGATGTAAAATTAAGGTTATTATGAGTAGGCTATTATGATTGTTATTTCTCAAACATGGTAAAACAACAACAATAATTTTAAGTCTTATGTGTAGGTCTACTGTTGGTTAAAATGCTACATTTTGTATAGACTTGGAATGCTGGACTTGACTAGAGTTTAAAGGGTCACGAAACACCAAAACACATTTTTTGAGCTGTTGACAGTTGTATATGTGTCCCACACTGCTAAAAACACTATAAGGACACCTATATTTCACTAAAAAGTGTAAATTGGTTGTTTTTGCATTATTTCAAGCAAATTCGTACTTCCGGTTTGAAACAAATTTTTTAAGCTGCGTCACGGTCATGACATAATAGCGTTGTATTCCAGCGTGCAGACTGGGCGTCTGTGCCAGAGTGTGTCTTATCACGTCTTCTGCACGTCTAGTTTGCTGCAGTTAAGTTTCGTTTTCAATTTCTCTCTGTGAGAGCTCAGAGTCACGTGTGGATTAACAGTGTACGTGACGCTCGACAACAATAACTTACGTGTCTAAGGAGGATTATTGTTTACCTGAGAGCTGTTCTCATCTGCAAACGCTGAGATCCGGATTCGCTTGTAGTATTCTCTTCATAAAGACGCGGCTCTAGTAGTTGCTGGTGATTGTCCTGTCTCTACAGATTTGGTAAGTGAGCGACCAGTGCTCTTTGTTTATTCAGTTTGTTCGTATCTAACAAACTATTGCACCGAGTGTAAACACGTTAGCACCACAACCAAACTTTAACCTCGTGTAGGGTTTTTACCGCATTTAGTGACCGGAATAACACACGCGGCTTTCTGACGCTACCTGCCGTGTGCATCTAAGTTTCCGGGAAATGCAGAGGGTTTTTATTCTCTCACTCGCCGTGCGGTATCAAACATTGCATGAAAAATACACGCTTAGAGCAGTTCCTCGAATCAAATATCTCATTTGTCGTGAGGGGCATGAATGAATTCCCTTAATGAAAGAGCCAAACTGCAGTTAAAGTCCACCATTTAATAATTTGGCAAATAATTCGACTACAGATGTCCATGTAGGTTAAACACCATCACTTTCTACTGTGTGTGTGAATTTTGACTCTGAAACTCGCGCGCGCCCAAATAGACACTCCCACACCCTCCCACTTTAGTTCCTCCGACACTCCCCCCTAAACAGAGCTGGACACGCCCACTTTTCTGACTTTTTCCAAAGTAGAGGTGTGAAAACACCCTGCTGAAACGAGGGGGTTTCATGGCCCTTTAAAGAGCCCTTATTATGGGTTTTTGAAAACGACTTTCCATGTAGTCTGTAACAGTGAAGTGAACAGTGAAGTCAATTGTCCAGCAGAGGCTTAAATCTGAAAGTGGACAGTGTTTAAAACTATTGATTCGGTTATAAAAGAGTCAACTCATTGTGGTTCATAACCTAAGCCCCGCCCAATTGTTGCTTGCGCAAACCCGGGAAAATTTAAACCTGAGGTCCCGCCCATTAATACAGTAGCAAAGAAAAGGAAGACAAACAGATCCCAGTTGGATCAAGTCATGAAGACGCTGTGCTTTGCTGGATATTATTGGAAGTATGTGGGAAAGTTAGTGTTATTTTCTCTACTTTCTGGGAACAAATGAAACGCTGAATGAATCATATCATATCGCTGGGATAATTTGCTAAAAATAAATGCATATTATAAGACCATGAAAGTGTGTATTGACCTTGCATTCATATCAGCATGTTGTTTGAGACACATAAAACCAAAATATGACCCTTTTTAATGTATAATAGGGGCTCTTTAAATTTATCCTGGATGCTAATTCACAACTATAAATAGTTCTAATGTTGAATTATTATGTTTAAGACACATGCTTGTCATTTGTCATAGACAAGATTATTAGACCATTTTTTTTTCACTGATAAAATGAGACATTTGTCATTATCAGATTTCCTCCTGCATTATATTCAACATTATATAGGATAGAGTAGTTATACTGACAGTTACAAGTCAAATACTTGTCGTAATCATAACTCTAAAATGCGATATGATTATTTATATAATGTTTAGCTTTCAGTTTCACTTTTACTGCTGAGTGCGATTCATGCCATGACTGCTGTGCCTTTGAGGGGGAAAAAATCACACATACAAATCATACTATCTGTGTAGCTCTGTGCAACAAACTGAATGTTATTTTAGAACTTTACTGTCTGTTATTTACAGCCTATGTAGGTTCTGTTCACTAAAGTAGACATGGGCATGTGTCAGCTCCCGTGTGATTTTTGCAGTCGCGAAAACATCATTACATGAAGACAGAAATTACATTTTAGGTGAATTATACCTTAGAAATACAGTATGTGACTCTTTCAACACCATTTCGAGGTACCTTATTTGCTTAGCAACATATGTAAAACAATGTGAAGGCTTGTGCGACTACGTTTTCGCTTCTCTCATGAACTTGAAAATGTAATTGGCTGAATTGTTGAAATGCTGGATTAAGATTTTGTAAGAGGTCGAATTGAGATTGTGACCTTTTTTCGATTAATCATGCTATGTTTAACTGAAAGTAATATTAAATAATACTACTTTGATAAATGTCAGCTATTTGTCAAGGCTGTGTTACTCATATGTAATTATTAATTATTTTTAGTTTATATTCAAAAATGACTAAAACACAAAGCAAATTAATAAAAACTTTATCAGAACAGTGTACATGAATTACTGCATGCATACAGGTCAAAGCCGACACAATAATCATAAAAACAAGTGACATCAGACATGTGGCTAGAAACACTTTTATAATTGACTATCATGTATTTTCTACACATTTTACAGAAAACACCTGCCAAAATGTCATTCAATAAAACCTTTGATTAAATCTTCGTAGACATATTTAGAACAATAATT